CATCCATCCATCCATCCATCCATCCATCCATCCATCCATCCATCCATCCATCCAGGGAAGTAAGGCTGTGTATGTCCGTGATCAGCATGACCAAGACTTGTTAAAAGTTTTTTCTCTTTTCTGCCAACCAACAGCTAATCAATCAAACCGTGGAGCTCGATTGTCTTTCAAGCTCCAGTTCTGCTGAGGAGACATCTTTACAACTCCTCTACTTCTTCTGCTCTCCTTCTCCTATTCCACTCTGCTCAATGAGACAATGACAGATTGATGAGGGGGAAAAGGCCATAGATCAGGGGGGGTACTAACGTCATAGCCTGATAGATGGACTCCACCCCGTATCGCATGGCAAACTCATCCACTATCTCCTGAGACACGTCGTCAAAGTAGACCTTCCACGCGTCGTCCCCTTTCACCTGTGGGATCTTCACCACCCCGTTGTTCTTCACCTCGGTCAGGTAGTGGAACAGGTTCTGTTGAGTGGTACAGGAGAGAACAGAGAGGTATCTTTAGCTGTGCTTTCTAGGCGGTGTTGTTCTAGATGGTGTGAGATGTACCTCATGTAAACAGGTGTACTGGCCGTGAGGAGGAGCCACATTTTCCTCTCCTTTCATCTCAACGCTGATCTTCAGTCTGATGGCACCAGATACTGCAGACTTATCAGTTCTTTTATCTGTCAGACAAATGCATTTAAAAGTCACCTGAAGTAGGAATAAAGTTTTGAAAATGCACGTAAAAGTAAAAGAAACCTTTTTCTCAAATATGTTTTAAACCACCAAGTAGAATCTCTGATGATGCAACTTTTTTTGCATAACTTTATAGTTTTATTGCAACTTTATTCACAAAAGCAGCTGATTAAACCTTTAAAACACTTGAAAATCAAAAGCCATAAGTACATAGACGTTTTATTATGATCAACAGGCAAATTTGAAGGCTCAAGCACATAAATGTGATCTTAGTCAGCAGAAACAAAAAATGTTTACTCTGTCCTTGACGCCAACAAAAAATGAAATGAAGCACTAAGAGATGAAATGCTAAACAGATCAAAAATGTCACTGAGATCTTTAAATGAGATTGATAAAAGACGATAAAATTAACCAAAGAACAAATGACTCCACCACTGAGCTTGCAGCTTTGCATTTTTTTATAAACAAAAAACAAATTCTGATGCATTTTGGCGAAAAGTAAATGACAAAAAATTTGAAAAATATGTTTCCACTTATACAGATAACCTAACAAACAAATGATCATTGAGGTTAGAGAGCAAATAATGTCACAGCAATGGGGCTTTTAACCCACCGCCCCATCCTCTTACACCACACGCTAAGATTCTTTTTTATTTTTCATCAAATCATCAAGAGACAGGCCAGTGAAAAATAATAACACAACAAAGTGGTTGAGAATGGTGCAACCAATGTAAAATCCCAGATTAAAGAGGAGCTGAAGAGGCTTAGAGAAAAGGAGTGGACACCCACAGCAGCAAAGGCCTTGTTAAAGAGTAATTCAGCAGCAGTGGGCAGGGGTCACTATCACTACAAATTGCTTGCGTTTAGATAAAGAGGCAAACAAAGACAGGAGCTACCCAGTCACTGTACTTTTAACAGAAATGGGGGCTTTCATTATGAATGGCAATTCACCCTCATGCAGCATGATGAATGAGAGCAGAGACAGTGAAAGATGCCATGTGCATGGACAGTAATGATGAACACAACTGAACAAGGGTTGTTTGTGTGACTAAGTGTACAGTGCAACATGTACAGCAGAGTGTAAATGAGCCGAATGTACACTTTGTGAATTTTTTAATAAACAGGATGATGATTTACTGGGAAGCAAAAGACATTCTTTATGGTTCTTGGCACCCTATGTAAATTATCAAAATTAAAAACTTTGATGGTGAGGTTGTACTTTCTGCATGTTTCCCCCATCTCAGCAATTTGTGCTTTTAGATTAATAAATGTGGTCATTTACCCGGTATTTGCTTTTAAAACATTTTTACCATATTTTTTTTATGAATCAGTGTCTTGAGGATTTCTCAGTGAGCTGATGTGCATAAATCACTGTTAATATCAGCCTTTAACACATCTAAATATGTAAAAATACATAACTTTTTAGTGTCAATTTTGCATGTTAATAAATACACAGTAAATGACAGAGTTGTAAAGGAACTAAGTACAAATACTTTGTTACTTTACTGAAGTAGAACTTTTGGGTATCTGTACTTTACTTGAGTAATTATTTTTCAGCCTACTTTTTACTTCTACTTCTTTCATTTTCACACAATTATCTGTACTTTTTACTTCTTGCCTTTTTAATGTAAGGAGTAGAAAGTCATTATTTTTATTTCATTTTTGCTTGTTTTCAATCCAGCTTGTTATTGTAAAAAATAGATGAATATAAACTGTGCCTCCTAGATAGAATTTAATTGTAGTTGAATGAGAAGTATAAATACATAAAAATCTGATACTGTATTAGTTTGTACACAAACAAATCATGTCACACTCCAGCAGGACACAATCATTAAAATAAAAGTACTGTACTTATGAAGTATTTTTATTTCATGAATTATATTATTACATTTGGCCGCAGCCCTCAGATAGATTTTTATTTTGGGGAAAAGTTTTGTGCAGCCTTGATATAAACTGAAACAGCTGGACTAGTGCATCCTAAATTTAACATAAATTAATTATTTTAATACAATATAGTCATTTCTNCATCCATCCATCCATCCATCCATCCATCCATCCATCCATCCATCCATCCATCCAGGGAAGTAAGGCTGTGTATGTCCGTGATCAGCATGACCAAGACTTGTTAAAAGTTTTTTCTCTTTTCTGCCAACCAACAGCTAATCAATCAAACCGTGGAGCTCGATTGTCTTTCAAGCTCCAGTTCTGCTGAGGAGACATCTTTACAACTCCTCTACTTCTTCTGCTCTCCTTCTCCTATTCCACTCTGCTCAATGAGACAATGACAGATTGATGAGGGGGAAAAGGCCATAGATCAGGGGGGGTACTAACGTCATAGCCTGATAGATGGACTCCACCCCGTATCGCATGGCAAACTCATCCACTATCTCCTGAGACACGTCGTCAAAGTAGACCTTCCACGCGTCGTCCCCTTTCACCTGTGGGATCTTCACCACCCCGTTGTTCTTCACCTCGGTCAGGTAGTGGAACAGGTTCTGTTGAGTGGTACAGGAGAGAACAGAGAGGTATCTTTAGCTGTGCTTTCTAGGCGGTGTTGTTCTAGATGGTGTGAGATGTACCTCATGTAAACAGGTGTACTGGCCGTGAGGAGGAGCCACATTTTCCTCTCCTTTCATCTCAACGCTGATCTTCAGTCTGATGGCACCAGATACTGCAGACTTATCAGTTCTTTTATCTAGGTTGTACCAGACATCCATCTTTCCACTGAGCGTGCGGACCTCGATGATGGTCTGACCCAGGAAATCGTCCGACTCGCGTTTGAAATGTTGCTTGACCCGTGACTTGATGTCATCATCTTCGTCCCAGACGCGCACCTTTATGCGGTCAGTCGCGTTGTGACATTCACTGTAAGCAGAGAGATCATAAATTCAGGTCAAGACTACCTCAACAAAACTAAAACTTGGAGTTGCAGCAGTTCAGAACATTCAAGCAAAGAAAAAATGGCCCAGATTTATATTCAGAAACTCAAACGCACTGAGCCTTCCAATGGAGAACAATTCTTGCAGATGAGTCTCCAGCTATTCACATTTTAATTACAGCAGAACAGATAAGGAATTTATAAAAACTCATAAAAAATATACAAGAATTGTTTGGTTCTGTTTTCCTGCTGAAATGATCCCTTCTGGTCCTTCTTGTATTTAAGCAGCATTCTCACAAATTTCAAAGTGACAAGTTTAATTTTGCCATCTTGAGTTTGACTGAGAAACGCCGTCTGTGGTAGTTATTTGAACTAATCCTTTTCTAGAGGAAAGCACAAGCTGCTGCTGCCTTAGTGCTGGAAACTCTGCCAAGCACACAGTAATGTATTGCTCTTTTAATCGACATCCCTGTAGTAATGGAAAGGAGTTTTTATTACAGCCACCACAGGAGTCTCTTTACAGGTGTGGAGCCTCTTCTGCACAAATAAGTTTGTAAGCAAAGAATTACAACTGTAGCAGCATTGCTTAAAAGTTGCATTTTAAGAAAAGACAGAACCACACATGAATGTGATGAAAAAGAGAATTTCACAATCTCCATGGGATGTATAAGTTAGTAGACCTGGAGCGGCACAGAAAATAATTAAAAAATAAATATTCATGTCATCTACTCCCACTTTGAACTTAAAAGAAATACATAGATATAAGATAAGATGAGATCAGTTAAAACCGATAAGAAATAACACACTTAAAATTGGTTTAAAAAAGAACAAACAAAAAAGAACAGCTCTGCTGATGAATTAGTCTATAAAAGCAGAATATTAAACCTAAAGCAACATTCTGTCCTTTTTAATATAAAGTAAACTTTGTACAGCTTCAATCTTACTTCTTGGACTGGCTCTGCAAGAAGAAACTTATTGAACTCAGGTCACCATTGTAAATAAAAAATAGTTCCCAAATGACTAACCTGTTCAAATAAAGATTTATACATGTAGAAGTTTGAAATAGTCTCCTAGAAACTCGATTTAATCACTAAAATCTAATTTGTTTTGAAATGAGCTAGATAACCTGGCAAAGCTTCCAGCCTGGTTTGAAATGGCAAATAATTAAAAGGTTAAAGATAAAACAAAAGATGGAGCGAGAGTCTGAAAAAGTGTTTGGGAGCTTTAAAGACGATACTGTGGCAGCTTCTGAACTAAAAGAGTGGAAGTGTGTGTTGAAAACAATTAAATGTAAAATAGAGCGACAACTTTCTGACAGATAAAAGTCTTCATCTCCAAAATGACAGTAACTGTTACAATTAATTCAGTTAGACATGCCATATTATTAGAGAGCACTCACAAGTAGAACTTCTCATCCCACACAGGGTTGAGGTTGCCAAAGATGGTCTTTGTCCTGCGTTTGGTCTTGCCCACCTGGACGGTGACATACGGGTCACTGGAGCCGGTTTTATCCTTGGCCTGTAAACCTTGTGCACACATGACTGGTCACAAAACAAAATGGGGACAAAGAAGATGGCTGGTTAATACCACATACACAACTTTTGATAACCTTGTTTTGTTTATTTTGAAAGTCACAAGAAGGCAAAAGATTTTAACATATGAAACCAAGAATGTTACCAACAAAACTATTGGATTTTTTCTTATTTTTGTTTACTACTTATTAAAAAATAATGATATTAACACTGATGCACTGATGCAAAGATTATTATTTCTCACAGTGTCCCATATGGACCTACATTTACTTCCTGTTCCACACCAGTGTTTAAAAAACTTTGAATTAAAAGTTTTTTTTTGTTTTTTTTTTTTTTGCTGGAAAATCACGTGTCTACTACATAATACACAGTTTTCAATTTATTACAAAGCATACAGGCTACAGCAAGCTATTGTCAAATTTTTTCTTCCTCTTTGTACATACAGTTTGGCTCCTTAACTTCACCAAAGTGTTTTGGAACCAAGTCGGTGACTTGTTGTTGTTTTATTTTCTGACTAGCATCAGTAAAATGTCAGAATCCATCTTACGGCCTGCAGCTCAACTCTCTGAGTATCTCTGCTACTCAGGAGGCTGCTGACAGATTTTTTTCTAAAATCATGCCAGAAGAAATAGATAACGCCAGGGAAAAAATAGATAAGTAAATAAACATATCAGGCAGACTGCAGCTCACTGACCTATCACTTATCTTTTTGACCTACATTCAATATTTACTCTGCTCTTTATCAAAAAAATGGAAAAGGTGTTTAATATTTAAAATGCTTACAAAAGATTCTCATTAGTTCCCGGTGCATAATGCGCTTTGAGATTTATGAATAAAATAAAATGTATCTTTTTGTCCGGTGGTAAATAATTAATACTCTTATCTTTTCTGTATCTGCTTTGCATTTTTATGGCATGTTAAGATATGTGGTTGTAAGAAAATAATATCTCAGTATCAATAATTTACAAATTGGATAGTGTACCATATAGAATAATCCGTTCTTTCATTGTCTGATGCCTTGACTTTTCAGAATTATGTTTTGTATAGTGATATTAATTTATATTTTCAGATCTTCCAAGGTGCCAATTATGGAACTCTCTGTGCATTGCTGCCCAAATCAAATTCTGGAAGTGGTCATTCAACGAGATCTGTTACAAAAGGACAACTGATATTACCAACTTTTAAAAACTGTTACGGCCAGAAGTCTTTCTTCTATGTTTATACTAAAGCATGGAATGACATTCCTCAAAACATAAAGTCCATTTCAAAACTACAGCCCATTAAGAAGAATCTTGTCTGCCATCTGCTGGACACTTTTTGTTGTGCTCATATTTAGACGTCCTATTTTGCAAATGCTGCCTTCCTGAAATTTGGTATGCTTGTTTGTCTTTGTGTCTATGGTGTATAATGATGTGATTGTGATGCTGTAATTCTGAGTGTTTTATGTGCATGTGTGTGAACAGGAACCTGCTGTAAAACAGAAATTATGCTGAGTCAGGCTTGATTTTTAGTAATCTGTTCCTGTTGAATCAATAAATCAAATCAAATCAAATCAATCTATGGCTTTTTGAGAAAAATGAACTCTGACATTGAAATGTCACAAATACCTCATGTATACAAAACAGTAACTCCAGTTACTTAACAGCGACCCAAAAATTGTATTAAACTAAATGTATTTGTGACACTTTTACACAGGCAAAATGTTGGCACTGTTTGTCTTTTTGATGTGTCTTGTTAGAGCTATTAGTGCTGTAATCATTTCCGTAACTGGCATTGTGGTATACGTTGAATTGTAAGAATTCAAACATCTATCATGTTTTTATTTTTTGTACTAGCTGTGTATTGTGTTAGGTCACATGATGAGTATATATATATATAAAAGCCCAACTTTTTATTTTTGTCATTCACTGCTCAGAAGTTTCTGTCATGAGTTGAATTTATGGCAACATATAAATATGCCATTCATTGCCTTCCTACGTAATTTCGCTCGATTCTAATCTCATTTCTCTGCTCGGTCTGGGCTTTCTCCCATTCACATGAATTTCTCCATAGAATTTCAGCCGGGCCAATCAGCAAACAGAAGGAGGAGTTGTGAACTAGAACACTGATTTTCTGCGCTGTTTGAGTGTGCCTGTATTTTAGCAATGGCAGCAAAGGAAATGAATGAAGTTATTCAGTCTGTGTTGACAAAGCGTCTAAATTAAATTAGATTTGTCTCACAAAGCCTGCAGCAATCATTTACAGCCATCTTGTTCAGCTCGGTACTTTTCTCTTCCCAGTAGGGGATGATTGTTTACAGCGCATGTAATTTCTGGTTTGCTTCTTAGCATAGCTTCCTTCACAGTCAATCTGGCGCACTACATACGTCACAGCTAAACATTAGCAGTTGGTTAAAATCAGATCCAATCATTTTTGAACTTCAACAGAGTCCATGCCTCCAGCAAGCAATCGCTTCTCAATAGCCAAGAGTCCAGACCCTCTGTATGAAGAAAAGCATAGGTTGCTGGGTCCAAACTCTGCTCTATCCATTTTAGTTATTGTGTCCTTGGGCAAGACACTTTACCTGCCTTGCCTGCTGTTGGTGGTCAGAGGGTGTGATGGCACTGGTGTACAGCAGCCTTGCCTTTATCAGTGTGTCCCAAGGCAGCTGTGGCTACAATGTAGCTTCCAACCATCAACGTGTGAATGGGTGAATGACTGTAGTGTGAAATGCTTTGGAGTCTTTGGACTTGATAAAGCACTATATAAGTTCAGGCCATTTATTATTTATGAACAGAGTGCATCATGAACACATCATAAGACTTGCTTTTTATTAAAAAAAAACAACTATTTAATAGGTCACCATTTCTGTTTGAATTATACCTGTCAGTGTTAAAGATGGTTACCAAAAACAATAATGTCAACACAAAATGTGTTTTGAAAATTAAAAGAAAATACACTGCTATCCTTTAATTTCTTAACAACAACCTTTTTTTAATCTTGAATGGAAATACAGCGGGTAAAATAAGTATTGAACACGTCACCATTTTTCTCAGTAAATATATTACTAGAGGCGCTAATGACATGAAATTTTCACCAGCTGTCAGTAACAACCCAAGTGATCCATACATACAAAGAAATCAAACCATAAATGTCCAGAAATGAAGTTATTTGTAATAACGTGGAATGRCACAGGGAAAAAGTATTGAACACATGAAGAAAGGGAGGTGTAAAAAGGCATGGAAAGCCAAGACACCAGCTGAACTCTCTCAGYAATTAGAAAGCAAGCCTGCCCCTTGTCAGTGCAAGTTAATATCAGCTGGTTCAGTCCCAAATGATGGCCAGGTATCACACAAGAACCATCTGATGATGGGTAAAAGTAAAGAGCTCTCTCAAGACCTTCACAACCTTATTGTTGCAAAGCATAATGATGGCATCGGTTACAGAAGAATGTCTAAACTTCTGAAGGTTCCAGTGAGCACTGTTGGGGCCATAATTCAGAAGTGGAAAGAACATTATTTCACCATAAACCAACCACGACCAGGTGCTCCTCACAAGATTTCTGACAGAGGAGTGAAAAGAATTATCAGAAGAGTTGTCCAAGAGCCAAGGACCACTTGTGGAGAGCTTCAGAAAGACCTGGAATTAGCAGGTACGTTTGTTTCAAAGAAAACAGTAAGTAATGCACTGAACCACCATGGCCTGTATGCACGCTCACCACGCAAGACTCCACTGCTGAAGAAACAGTATGTTGAAGCTCCTTTAAAGTTTGCTGCACAACATTTAAACAAGCCTGTGAAATACTGGGAGAATACAGTCTGGTCAGATGAGACCAACATTGAACTGTTTGGATGCCAGAATACACATCATGTTTGGAGGTCAAATGGCACTGCACATCAGCCCAAAAACACCATACCAACAGTGAAGTTTGGAGGTGGGAACATCATGGTGTGGGGCTGTTTTTCAGCATATGGTACTGGCAAACTTCAAATAATTGAAGGAAGAATGAATGGGAAAATGTACAGAGACAGTATTGATAAAAAATCTGCTTCCATCTACCAGGAAGATGAAGATGAAACGTGGCTGGACATTTCAGCAAGACAATGAGCCCAAACACAAAGCCAAGGAAACTCTCAGTTGGTTTCAGAGAAAGAAACTAAAGCTGCTGGAATGGCCCAGCCAATCACCTGACCTGAATCCAACAGAAAATCTATGGAAAGAACTAAAGATCAGAGTTCATAGAAGAAGTCCACRAAACCTTCAAGATTTGAAGGCTGTTTGTGTGGAAGAATGGGCCAAAATCACACCTGAGCAATGCATGCCACTAGTTTCTCCATACAGGAGGCGTCTTGAAGCTGTCATTGACAACAAAGGCTTTTGTACAAAGTATTAGATAAATTTCAGTAAGTGCAATACTTTTTCCCTGTGCCATCCACATTATTACAAATAACTTCATTTCTGGACATTTATGGTTTGATTTCTTTGTATGTATGGATCAGTTGTGTTGTTACCGACATCTGGTGAAAATTTCATGTCATTAGCACCTCTAGTAATATATTTACTGAGAAAAATGTTGACGTGTTCAATACCTATTTTACCTGCTGTATATTGATCATGTTTGATACTTGGCCCATTCTAAGTTTAAACTACAGGCAGATATCCCATTCCTGTGGAATGACCCTGCTGCCACAGAGAGTTCCTGCTGAGCCAGGACCTGGCTCCAAAGAAAGAGAAGTGATTCAGAGGTGCAGAGAAGGAGAGACAGTGGTATTTCACTGTGCCATAAAAAGGAAAAAGGACACTGCTGCATTAAATATGCATTAGTGACTGTCTAAATAATTCAGGGTACATATATATCATTCAGCTCAATGCTGACAAGAGTTGGGGGGCAAGATATAGTGGTTTGGGGGTCTGTGGCCTGCTTGTTCCAAGAGTGTAGGCAAAATCAAAAGCATCCTGAAAGGAAAAATAAAATGCAATGACCAATCATTTAATGTCCCAGTGTGCTTTAAATTAAATGTTTATTGGGTAACTTGTTTTTTTTTGTATACGTACATAGAATTTTAGTTTCTCACATGCGGCAAACAGGGAAACATACTAATAATCAAATTTGAGAGCCTATTATCCCATGCTACCAGGTCTGTCTTAAATTAGATTTTTGTTTCTACAATAAAAAGACAAAAAATAACATATATGGGTTCATTTATAGCATTTGTTTATAGCAGTATTAACTTTTATAAAAACTAAATCATTTAGTGAATGCACAGTGAATACTGTCTGCAAACATCTTATGCAACAAATGTTTTAATAAAACTTACAGCAAACGAAAGCCTTGTTCATGAGTGATAATTTTCATTAGTAAAGGTGGGAAATGGAACTTTTCTCTTCTGAATAAAAAAGAGCAAAATATTTGACAAATGAGTCAGCCGGGAAACATTCGACTATCATTGCTTTACTTTGTAATGAAATAAACAGTGAATTTAGATACTAGAATATGTTTAATGAGATTAAGACTTATTGAGCAAAAAATAAAAAAAAAAATCAAGAATGTCCTGCGATAACAAGTCAACAGCAATGTGTGTTATGCAATAAGTGAAAAGGTAAATAAATTTCAAGCCAATAAATTTTAGGAGTCTCTTGGTGACCACAGAATACTACACATTTCCTGTTTTTTCCTTCTCTCCTGCACTTTAGTCCTCTGCGTTACAGTCATTTTTCACACCCACTACCATTTGTCTTCTTCCCTCAGTTGTTATTCCTCTGCTACATATTGGCATAGTGGAAAAATGCAAGGTGGGCATTAAACGAGCTGGACTTTGTGCAGTTTACACAGGGAAGGACTGGAGTCCAGAGGGAGGTTACAGCAAAGGTTCCTGATCTTGTTTCAAGAGTCCGCTTGAGGGATGCACAAACAAACTAATGAACTCAGAGTTTAGATGATAGAATGCAACCATAAGCCTTTTTATGACAGTAGCACAAACAAAAGTCACACACTGGAGGACTAATGTCAGCAAGAACGGCAAGAAAAAATGTGTATCATATGACAATATATTTTTGAGTATCATTTTACAGAAACTGTACGATGAACACTGGAGGCTTGAACTGTGTTTGATTGGGTGCTTAGATCCCAACAGGTCTAAGCACCCAACGAAAGATATTTGTCTACACAATTTTCTAAATCTCACTGCTTATTTATGTATATTCACATACAAAATAAAATAATTTTGACCAACAAAAACAGTTAACAACTGTATGTTAACTTTAAAACAGAATGTCAGAAACCTACATGAAACCTGCCAATGTCAATGAGACACATTAATATTAATGTGAAGTCAACCAATCCTGGGTGGGGTATGGTGGTCCCCTGGAAGATGTTTTTTTTAGTCTACTCCAATCTGTGCATTTTCCAGTCAACTGAAGAGCATTTTATTAAAATGATTGGATTGATAAAACAATCCAAATCCAGTTTATTATCAAGCTAAAATGAAAGCTAGTCCTTAACCTGAACTGTACCTGAAAATCAGATAAAAAAAATGCAGTATGTTTATTTTTTGCCTGAAGGTTACATAGCATTATGGGTCAGAGTTTTGCYATTTCAGTTCATTATTCATGAAATGAGCCTATCATGGTTACAGTAAAAATCACCTTTCTATTCACAGGTAAAGAAACAGCCCAATAAATACAGTGGGYTAAATAACTTTGTCCTTTCCAGGCACAGTGTAAAAACATAATGTAGCCTAACTTTTAGGGGAAAAATCARCTTAAAAGAAATTATAATAGCAATCACTCCTAGCCCAGCTAAAGCAATATGACCATCATCCATCATGTTTATTAGTAGCTTGAAATATATAAATTAAAAGTCCCACAGGGCTTGTAGGTCTGCTGTAATGTTAACCAGGAGTAGCTACAGTCCAGAGACAAACATGCAGTATTAAGGAAGTGGCTGCAGCAGCTTTATGAAAACAACAATAATCCTCCATAAAAACCCGGTTTCCTTCTAACAAAACAGTACCGTCTCTCCAACTTTTAATCTTCCTSTCATTATTATATTACTAAATTCCTTCCAAACAATCCACACAGGTGTTCATGTTCTGTTAGGGCTCAAGCACCCCTAAAACAGGGCTAGAATCGCCACTGGTTTGATTAAAAAGCAAAAATAGTAACGRCATCAAATGACTGAGGATGCGCAAAACAGGAAGAAAAATGGCTCAAAACTGAAACATGAGGATAAAAAAGAGGTTTCCCTCCAAATRAGATTAAATAATCATCATATATCTTCAGATGTAAACTGAGACCCAAAAAGTGAATTATTACACAGAAACATTCCCCACCCTGTATTACATCATGGGATAATTTGTAAGTGAAAATTCTAAGACAAATAGATGAGTTTTTTGTCAGCTGTGGGAATTTCTCTTTTAAAATAAAAGGAAGTCTTCACAACATTTTTCTTTATGGCTTCTAAGATGGTCTGTATTTAATATGCCATCTTAATTTCATAAACTCTCCCTCTTGCCTGAGTACAAACTGGGTACTATTAAATTTTCTTCATCTCTTGGGCTATTTGATGACCAAATCAATCATTAACGATTGTACAAATAACCTTTATGGTAATACCAGCTTTTTTCTCTCTCTCCTCTCCACACAATTAAATCAATTCTTGTTTTTGTCTTTGATTAAATGTAAATCACATGCAGTRTTAGAGGTTACTGACCAAGGTGGTTTAGGTTATTTAACGGTAAATGACAACCACAATCTTAAACTTTGTCATATTAAATCATTGGTGGCAGCTTGTTTGATTTAGCTTTCAAATTAAAGGACACATTATGCTTTTAAATCCTTTTTTTTACACATTTAAATCCTTCAGTTGGGCTCTATATAAAGTGAAACTGCAATGCTTTGGTCTGAACTTTTCCTTTTTATAATTCAACAAGCCCCTATTTCACCTCTTTTTTGGGATCTCAGATGAACTTGTTTTGAGGATGTCTTCTTAAATTCAAATGAGGCACTTCACAMCCAGCTCCAGAGAGGTCCATTGTAACTTGATAGAGGGGTTTACATCTACATGAGTGGTGCATAAACATGTTATCAACAATGTAAGACTTGTCCATCCTGCCTTACATTTTGGAGCCAGAGTCTGACCCAGAGCCAGAGGAGAATGAAGATGACAAAATTGTAGTTGGTAAGTCCAGAAACTGTGACATAATAGTCCAGAAAATGTCAGAAAAAATAGAGAAAACTGAACAGACTGAAAAATATGATCCAAACAGAGAATAAAGATATCTATGCAGCACCAGGAGAGAATAAATTAAATTTCTCTGCACTCTTAGAGACTCCAAGTGCACAACAAAATGCATTTAATGGCTAAAAAAATTGGAATTTGCATGATATACCCTTTAAGGGTTGTAGCATTCATTTTGCAAATCAAAGGTCACAACATTATCGGAATTATTGGTACAAAAAAAATCACCATTCTGTTCATTAATGATTTACGTGAAAACTAAGTACAAAAARTACTTGTTTTCATAGTTGGTAGTTAATGCATCATAAAGCAAACTGACCTGTAATGCTAATTTTGGCCGACCACTTGGACGTCCCATCCAGCACTGCCTGTTTGGCCGTCTTCAGATGGCTGGAAAAGTCTTCTTTAGAGACGTGGAACATCTCCTGAATCACCTCGAACACTTCAGGGCGGTTCTTCTCCCTTATCTTCATGCGCTCCTTCATAGCCATGATGATGTTCTGAGTTTTGTCCTCTGCCCCGTGCTTAGAGCTTTTCTCCACGGCTCCTGAAAAAAGGCCACGTGTTTACTCTTTGTAGCACATCTAATCCCCTTTGTTGGCTTTGCCATAAATCTAACCTTTTCATTGAATACCTTTTGATAACCTTGTCTTTCTTCCTAAATCACTGCATGTTTAAGCAGCTTCCACAATCTGCAACTACCTACTTATATCCAGTGCGCATCTAGATGATTTTTATTCTTTCAAAATAAAGTGAATGTGTAAGACAAACGAGGCACATCTAACAATTTCCTCTCAATATCTGATCAAAGTGTCACAAATTTGCAAGTATTAGTGTGTGTAGATTGAAATGTGATRAAGATGAATCCATTTAAACAACAAAATAATCTTGTATTAGAATGAACAAGTTTGAAAAAAATGCTGTTTTTTTTTCTTATAACAGCCAGAGTGTGAATAATCCACTCAAAGCGTGTAAGCATTGCCAAGAGGGCTGTTCTAAAACGTCACATTCTTCTTCACATTCGCTGTTCTACCCTGTAATAACAAAGGTGTGCCTAACTGACAAAACTGACTGGATATTGTAATGATTGCCAGTGGCTCAAGGAGCAACATAAATGCAACTTGTAGCAATCAGTGAAATGGTATGAATTACATGCACCACACAAGACCTGATGTTGTAATTCATAGGTACAATAGGACTAATGGTGCTTGTTAACAGTATGTGTTGGGGAACCAATCTAAAACAGATGAAATACTAAATTAGCATTGATGACATTTATCAGAAGGATTAGATAACAAAKTCTAATTTAATTTACCTGAGCAAGGATGATGCAAAAATCAGTGTTACATAGTAAATAATGCAACAAAGTTGCTGTTGCTGCCTTTGTTGTACAAAAGACTAATTTGCAGTACGTGTCCTTGGATTTGTGTTTTATGAGTTGTTCTAATGTTACCTCAGTATGGAATAAAAAAGACATAATAAAATATAGGAAAAAATGGTAAAACTGAACACAGGTACACCCAAAAATTGTATATTTTTTTTCTCCTKAAGAAAACACATTTGTGTGTTTACTTTACTTCAAAGCCTTACAAGATATTAAAAAAGAAAAGCTCCATTCCCTCAAGCATCAGTCTGTTGGTGAATGAAGAAAATTGTCTTCTTACTTTGTAAACAATCTGCGTTGAGCAGGTCCTGGCACTTCTCGTGGCATTTAACGCCACATTCTGAGCAGCGCATGCCCTGACGGGCGATGCCCCACAGCAGGCCTTCACACTCATGGCAGTAGGTGGGAGCAGTCGCCGTCCACACCTCAAAATTATGGGGTGTGGTGGAGGAAATTGGGTAGATCAAGGCCTGGAGAGTCTTCTTGAACACATGCAGTTTCTAAAAGAGAGAGAGAGAGAGAGAGAGAGAGAGAGAGAGAGAGAGAGAGAGAGAGAGAGAGAGAGAGAGAGAGAGCTAATCAGGAGGTATGACAACAATGTCAATTATGACAATGCTGTTAAACCCCTGTGGTGTTACAAAAATAATCAAAACAAGCATGTAGCTTTACTGTTTTTTAGAATTATTTAATGGATTTTCCACACATCTTTGACAACAGCGAAAACATATATAAAGTTATATCTGAAGTTTAGAAAATGGTGTCAAAAGAATGAATAAAAACTAAAAGGAATTCATAGTCAGATATGTTGTTCTGCCCTAACCAACAAATTGTACAACTTTACTGAAGCAGAAATGTTATTCATTCATTTACACAGAATGGTTTAGTGACTGAAGCAGACAGTAGAGTCTACAGGAGCCCTGTCCAGACCGATTGCCATATATAACACAAGCTTGCTCAAATYGAATGTTTCACTGCAGCAGTCCTGCCAGCCACAAGGTCCTGAAAATGGGCAAAGACTTGCCAACTCTTGAAGGCAGAAATCAATGGATGCTGTAAATAAGGTTTTTAAATGTGGGCATTATCCGAATTGAGGGAGAGAGCGAGAAAATGACAGAAAGAGAAGGAGATGTATGGCAGGTGAATAAATCTTCACGAGGTACTCTTTCTCCCCGGCTTCTACAAAGCTCCACTTCTCCTCCTCCTCCTCCTCCTCCTCCTCCTCCACCACCACCTCTCTTCCTTCTGCTAGTCTGCAGCGTGTTGACAGTGTGTTTTAATACTTGAATTGTACCTCTGCACTTCAGCAAAATCAGCTTGTTGCCTGCTCAGAGTCAGACACACATGCAGTTTTGAACAKGCACACTCGCAGCGGTGATTAAATGACGTGAACGACAGGACTACAGGGCTGCAGCGAAGTTTCGCTGCTGAACTCTGGAAGAGCTTTAATGAAACACAAAAGCTGACGGAGAGATTTCCCCTTTAATCTGCAGATGATAAGATGAAGCAGATGTCAGAGAGTCATCCACATTAGACACATGTATTGGCAGAGAGTTCTATACCCAGATGTCTGCCAGTGACTAATGTCAATACTGAAAAACAGGCTGTGAAGGAGATGAGTGAATCGAATTTACCTCATTTTGAAAATATCAGAGCTTTTGTTTGTCTTAATGAGTTAACTAATATGTTTGATATATTACTTATCAACCTCTACCATGAAAGATGGGCAAGTAATTGCTTGTGTGTGTGTGTAAGTTCTGTGGTCTGTCTGTTAGCAAAATATCTCTGGAAGCACAGATGGGATTTAATGATGAAATAATAGATGTAGATCTATAACTGATTAACTTTTGGAGTCGACCCAATTCAACAAGAAAGCCATGGCTAATCAGTTTCAGCAAACACGAAATGGCAAAATGTCATTTTTACATTTAATGAGCTATAATTTGTGTTTTAATAGCTAAAGGTCATCCCCAACATATTTTCAGAGCATTAACAGCTCACACAAGAACTTTAATTAAAACCTTGGCATGCAAAGTGTCAGGCAATATGCATTCCTTTAAAGAGTGCTTGTATTTTAAATAATGTGAATGCTTATTAAGCATTTTCACTGTTGAGATCATTTTTTCTTCCGTATGTTTTTCCAAA